ATTTTCCAAAACAGACAGCAAGCTGAATTTGGTAACCCCTGCTCCAGATCATTGTATGAGGTTGGGGCCAGAAGCAAATTCTAAGATCACATCCCAGTCTTTTGTTAGGGATGTGCTCCCAGATGAAATTGATAAGAGAGTGAGAGGAAGGGAAGGGAAAAGGTCAAGCAGGATCATGATAACAGGCAAAATTTAATTTCCCTGAAGGTAGTTTCAGCCTGAAGAGTCCCAGATGCAGTCTGTCAGAAGCAAATACACACTAAAACTTAGTGACACTCCGAGGGCATCAGGTCGGAGCAGTGACAGTGTCCAGTACTGTCATGTAGCAAGTAAGGTGTGAAGTAAGGATGCCATCTGACTCCAGAGCTTCTATTTCTCCTGCTGCACCATACATATGGGCGCAGAGAGGCATTTAGAACTCTGCTAAAGTCAGTAAAATGACTGGCGATGGAGTGTCACAGCTGAAGGTGAGTGAAAACTCGGAGACAGTTTTGCATAGTGGTTTAAGAGCTCTGGTTCTGGCATGAGACAGGCCTGGATCCAAATTCTGACTCTACCACTGGACTCTGTAACCTTGAGCAAATTTCTTATATACTTTGGACAGCCTCAGTTTTCCCATCTAGAAAATGGTAATGATAAAAACAGTTACCTTCTATACAAAGGTACTTTGAAAATAAGTTGAGATCATTCTCAGGAATGCATAGCCTAGAACCCAGTGTGCAATGACTGCTAGTGATCATTATCACTGAAAATGGGACTTACAGGGGCAGTTTATCACAGGCTGTTCAGAGAACAGAGGGTGCCCTGCCTGAGGACTGTGTGTCTGGTCCCTGTGGCTGGAATGTCTTCATAGCAGAGGAATACATATGGCTGTCCCAGCTCTGCCATCATAATGTGTCTCTGATTCTCCTTGCTTGACTTCATGCTCTGCAGGAATCTTCTGATCATAATTTGGCTGCAGTTTGTATTTCCTGTGTAGAGAGAAGAGACTGACCAGAGGATTGCCTGTCAAGTCCCCATGGTGGCTATTTTTCCTTGTTATAAATTACTATTTGTGAATTGGTATTGTGGCTTACACCTCAGTCTTTTGGTGTTGGGACAGCATCCACATAGCTCTGGACTCCCATATGACGGGTTCTTGGGTCCACCTCAGTTTTCTGGGGCTCTGCTTTCCCAAGGCTCCACCCAGGGGTGTGGGGGCCTTCCCAAGCCTCATCTTAGTTGCTAGCCCCAAATCACTGAGGCAGCAGGATCAGAAATCACTACTTTATAAGCATGACTGTCCCTGTGATCAGATTTTGTTCATCCTTCATCTTTGGTGAATTCCTCTTAGAAGATGCCACTCCTTTACCAAGTGGAATAAAGGAAAGCTGTCTGCTGTTGGGCAGAGCTCTGCGGGCGTGAGGTCAGGTATAGGGTGGTAAAGGGATTGTGGGTCAGAGAACCCAGTGGGATTTCAGCCTGAACTGAGTTAGGGTCTCTTGTTCAGCCACCCTCACCTCCCATCCCATGTGGTGTATCTACCAGAGCTTGCTGTAGAAAGCATGCATTGTGTTTTCTCGGGCAAGATGTGGTTCACAGGAAGGAGCAGTTGAGGACCAGCCAGCATCCTCTGGGTGCCCTGACCCGGTACCAAGCCCTGCTAGATCAGGGCAATCCCAACAGCTGATCCTGTAATTCTCTTCAGGACAAAAATGGAGATTAAAAGCAATCTAATCCCAAGAGCTGGGCATCCCCACGGGGGCCCACCAAAAGCCATCATCCAGCCCTGTTTTCAGGCTGAGACTGACCATAAGAGGACCCAGAAGACACCAACAATCTTTGAAGGAAGTCGTGCCGTCTGGACTGCAGATCCACATCCACCCCTCTAACCTCCACCCATTCTTTCGCCTGACCCAGCTCTCTTTGGGACTGCTTTCCAGGCATTTCCCACCAGTGTTACGATTCTTCAAGACTGACTGGTTGTCAGCTTCCCTGAAACCCTTGCCCACCCCACCTGGGTGGGGACAGGGATCCTCCTATGTGTTCCTGCAGCCTGCCCCCCAGTATGTGGCAGTTGGCCTGATTACACATCTGTTCCTCCCACCAAAGTACAAGCTCCTTAGGGTCAGGGACTCTTACTCATCAGTAGAGCCCAATACGTGGTGCTCAGTACATAAAAGAATTAGAAGAGATCAGCTGCACTGTGTCCGCACCTAGTTCCCCTTCCCTTGTTAACTCTGCCTTGGAAGCCAAAAGTAAGATAACCCCTAATGAGCCTTCCCAGAGGTTCTCTGAGAGGTAAGGTATTAGGAAAATACTAATAATATCCTAATAATGTTATGATCTCAATGATGCCAATATTATCCCATTCTGCACTGAGAAAACCGAGGCTCTGTGTTGAGTGACTTGCCAAGGCAGTGTGACTGGGAATGTCAGAACCCAGGTTTTTGAGCTCCTGCATTCAGAGCTTCGGCTGCTTTCCAGCTGTATTAGTTCTTAAATTCAGTGAGCACATCCTGCATGTAGGCTGTCTTGTTATCTTCATTTTTCTGAATAGGAAATGCAAGTTCCTACTTCCACACAGCTAGGAATGATAGAGCCAGGATACGTGCCCACACCTGTATGACTGCAAGCCTCCTGCTTTTTTCTGGACTATGCTGCTTCTCCCTCAGTACGGGAAGGTTTGGGCTGAGAGAAAATTGGCCAAGAGTGGGTGGATAATTGGGAGGGGAGAGCCAAAGCTAACCTAGCCCTTTTGCCACCCGCCTTTTCTCACCTCAGGCTGCGGGAACAGTGCCCTGAGCTACGAGCTGTTCCTCGGGGGGTTCCCTGATGTGACCAGTGTGGACTACTCATCAGTAGTGGTGGCTGCCATGCGGGCTCGCTATGCCCATGTACCCAAGCTGCGCTGGGAGACCATGGACGCGCGGGCACTGGGCTTTCCCGATGGCTCCTTTGATGTGGTGCTTGAGAAGGGCACACTGGATGCCCTGTTGGCTGGAGAGCTGGATCCTTGGACCGTATCCTCCGAAGGTGTCCACACTGTGGACCAGGTGCTGAGTGAGGTGAGGGAGCATCAAGACAGGAGGGCAAACCAAGAGGTGGGGATGAAGGGTTGAGGTTTCAGGAGATTGGATGAACTCAGAATCCAGAAGGACACATGGTTTGGAGCAGCTACTCTCAGGACTGTGGTTACCTGCAGAAGGGTTATGCTGGGTCAAGATTATAGGAGGCTGGAGTGGCCAGACTCACGGAGGCTGATGATTGGCTACTGGGTTGCCATAAGGATGAGGTAGCAACCAAGTTTCAGACAGGTAACAGACTGGGAGGGTGAGCAGTTGGCAGGACACAGTACCCCCTGACCTGATATCACTCCCATGCTCCTTCCTGTCTGGAGTACAGCCTGACCCCCATGGAATGACCAGGGGCACAGAAGGGGGCTCACTCCTTTGCCATGGAAGACTGGATGTAGGGTAGTAACTGGGAGGGCATCTGGGGCAATACTGACCTTTGAGAACCTGGAGATGGACTTCTCACCAATAGCTTCTCTGTCTGCCTTGCAGGTGAGCCGAGTGCTGGTCCCTGGGGGCCGGTTCATCTCACTGACCTCTGCAGCTCCCCACTTTCGGACTAGACACTATGCCCAAGCTCGTTATGGCTGGTCTCTGAGGCACGCAACCTACGGCAGCGGTTTCCACTTCCACCTCTACCTCATGCACAAGGGCGAAGAGCTTAGTGTGGCCCAGCTGGCCCTGGGAGCCCAGATCCTGTCACCCCCCAGGCCTCCCACCTCACCCTGCTTTCTCCAGGACTCAGATCATGAGGACTTCCTCAGTGCCATTCAGCTGTGAGGCCAGGAAAATGGTCCTCAAACCCTCCCTACTGTTCTGCCTTAGACTCCTCAGGTTGTTGTAATTCCTGACTCAGGGGTTAGGGTTATGTCCAAGGTGCTCACATCCCAAGGGCCTGATGCCTAAGATAGAGCTGATGGGAGCAACCCAACATGAAATAATATAGCCCAGGCTGAATTACATCCCAAATCCCGGGGTTATGGCTTCCTTCTTAGGCTCCTCTGATCCCTCCTGGGCTCCCCCAATCTCATCTCCCACCATGCTGATCTACCACAGCCCCTCTGCATGCCAGCTGGACCTGGAGGCCTGCATCCCTAGGACCTGTTATTGTCCCCCCTTCAACCTGGGTTCATCCACAGGAGGTTGCAGACTTTGAATCTAGATTGCTTTACAATTCTGACCCTAGCTCCAGCCTCAACTCTAGTGACCTATCCTGCTCTGGTTTTATACTTACCCAAGGATGCCTGCCTGTACTTGGCAACACTTCCCAACCAGAAACATGCACCTGGGATTCTCAAGTACCCACCTCCTCCCCAAAAGGGATTGGAGCCACTTTGGCTTGGCTCCTGAGCAAACCGAAGCAGGGGACAGACACACACACACACACACACACACACACAGGAAGGTCTGTGTTTATTCACACACTCCCGGTACAGTGAGGATGAAGGAACATTTACAAAGGACAACCCTGGGTCGAGAACATCTCTAGGGCCACAGGTGTCATCCGAGGGTGTAGAGCAGTCCCCATTCGGGTTCCCAGGGGCAGGGTGCAGGGGTCCAAGGTACAATGAGACCTGGACCCTTGGGAGGTGATACCTTGAGGGAAGGGGTCTGCCAGAGAGCCGCCTGGGGTCAGGCCTGGGCAGACTGGCCATGTGTCTGTTACCATGTTGGGGGCTTGTCCATTCCCACGCTCAACACTCGTCCTACCTGCCAGGCGCAGAAGAGCAAGGACGAGACGGAGGGGGAAGGGTGCTAACCATGAGGGGAGCCAGTAAACAAAGAATCGGATATAAAAATACAAATGTGCTGAGGAAGTCCCTTAGAAATTGGCTGAGGCCGGGGTCACGCCAGACAGGGGTGGGGGTGAGGAGCGGCCTGGAGGGGTGGGCCGAGCTGAGGTGGGTGGGAAGCTCATGCAAATACGCAGCCAAACAGCCCCGGCCGCACACGGTCGGACGCCGGCTGGGAGCCGGGTCTAGCGACCGGGCCGGCCGGAGAGGGGCGGGGCGAGGGAGCCGTGCGGGAGGGGCTGGGTCTCTGGGCCGCGGGGCTCTGTCCGTTCCGGTGTGCGGGGTGGGGCTGCGGCCCGAGGTTCTAAAGTGCATGAGCGCGGCGGCGGGCTCCGGGCGGGTCCGCGCCGCCGCCGCCGCCGCCGCCGCCGCCGCCGCCGTGGTGCTGAAGCGGACAGCTCCGGAGTGCCTGGCGGCGGAGGCAGCGACTCTGGCCCGGCGGCGGCGCGGCCCTGCAGCCCCCGCCCGCGGGCGCCTGGGCCGGGGCGGGGGGCGCCGGCAGCCGCATCGCCTGCCCGCGCGCCTGGCCGCTGCGAGGCCGGGCCCGGAGCCCGCCGCCCGAGCCGGCGCGTCTACACTCCGGACGGCGGCTTCTCCCCCATCCCCTTCAGCACGTCGTCTATCCGGTCATCCTCGATCACCACTGCGCAGGGAGAAAGCGCGTCAGCCGCGCGGCCTCGGGGGGCGGCGAGGATGCGCCCCGCGCCCCCCGCGCCCCGCGCAGGTGCTGCCCGCGGCCCGGCGATGCCCCTCGACCCCCGCGCCCTCCCTAGTCGAACTCTCCTGCCGACTCGGCCCACCGCCGACCCGGCTCTCACGGACCCCCTCCCGGTGCAGGAACGCCCCCTCTTCCCCAGGCTGCAGCCCTCCGACCTCTCCGTCCGCCTGGCCTCTCCCGCACCCGAGCTGAACAGGAGCCTTCGTGCTCTCGGGACCCCCTCTTCACCCCTCACTGCGGCTGGACCCCTTCCTCACGCGGACCCTCTTCCCGGCCCGACCCGCGTGCCTCTCGAACCCTCCTTCCAGCCTGGCACGCGCGGATCCCCTTCCCCGTTCGAACGGCCGCCACATCTGAGCCCCCGGCCCTCCCGCCCTCTCAGATCGGACACCCCTCCCCGCCCGCAGGCCCCTCCGTGGGATCCAGCGACTCAGCGTTTGAGCCCGAAGGGGCGGCCCGTCGCCCGCGTTTTCCCACTTCCAGGTGGCCCCGAGTGCCCCGGCCGGCCCCTCCCCCTCGCCGGGTGCCGGGGCTCCACTTCCAGAGGCGCGGCGCGGCGCGTCGAATCCGGGGCACCGCGCTCCCGGGAGAGGGGAAGCGGGGAGCAACACTGCAGTGGGGACCCCCCCCCCCACCAACCAACCCCAGCCTGCGAGCGCCCGGCTGCACTGGGCTGCGGCACGAGCTGCGGCCGGCTGGCGGGGAACCGCAGCCCGGAGGCGCCCGACGGAGGGTTTCTGGGTCAGGCGGCGACTCCGGGCCCGGGCCGCGTACCTCTCTTGGCTCGGCCGATCTGGCCCAGCTTGGGGGGTCGCTTGGCTTGGTTGCCCGCAAAGAAGGAGTTGGTGTCTTGGAGGCGACAGCTGAAGGAGAGGTCGGAGCCCTCGGGGTCGGCGCCGAAGCGGCCCATCTTGTCCTCACTGTAGGGCAGGATCTCGGACATGGCGGGCGCGGGGTGGGCGCGGGACTGCGGCGGGGCGCGGACGGCGGGCTGGCTGCCGGACCGGCCCTAGCTCACCAGGAGAGCCGGCGGAAGGATGAAGTCATGCAGCATCCGGGGCTGCGGGGCCAAGCGGGGCCTCCTCCCCCGCGCCTCCGCCTCCCGGGCCGCTGGGCAGGCGGCGGCGGCGGCGGCGGCGGCGGGGACCGGGCGGGGGCGGCGCGCGGGGGGCGGGGGCGGCGGCGGCGGCGGCGGCGGCGGCGGCGAGAGCGGAATGACGATGAGCGCCCGACTGCGGCAGAGCGCGGCGGGCGGGGCGCGGCGGGGGCGGGGCGGGCACCGGCCACCGAAGAGGGGCGGGGCTGGGGGGGCGGTCCGGGGGACCCGAGGATGCGAGGCTCGCGGGGAGGGGGAGAGGGGAGGGGGCGGCCGTGGGAAGGCCGGACACAATGGCGGGAGCGGTGGCGGGGCGAAGGGCACTGGCCCACGGTGCAGGATCTGTCACGCGAGGCGGGACGCGAGGTGGTGGCCGGAGCCGCGGGCGCCCGAGAGGCGAGAGACTCCGAGAGCCGAGCAGGTGGGAGCGGGAATCAGCGCGCAGGTCAGGGCCGGAAGGCGGGAACTAGCCTGGCCCTGGGTTTGGGGCGGAACACCAGAGAATCGGAGGTCGGGTGCAGTGCGGGGTTTTCGCGGATCCGCAGCGCTGGGGAAGGGCGCAGACCGGCGGGAGCTGTGCTCGCCGCTGGCGCGCTCCGGGGTCGGGCTGCCGGGCGCGGGTCTGTGTTTCCCTGACCGCCCTTGCGTGTCAGCCTCTGCCTATCCGTACGTCAGTCTTTCTCCAGTGCGCCTGTTTTGTCTGCCTCTGTGCCCCACATTTCTTTGTGTTACGGTCCCTGTGTACGCCTGTCTGGCGCCAGTCTCCACGCTCCGCTCCTGTAGCTATATGCCACTGTGTCTCCAGCGCCCGAGTCTCCTTGTGTCTCTCGATCTGACCGCGCAGAGGTCTCGGTGACCGGGCCTCACCGGCTGGCGCGCGCCGGGGCAAATGCCCACCCCTAGCCCTGCTGCTGGAGCCTGTACTGGTGTTCAAAGCGCCTGCCGCGCCCCGCGCTTTTTCCGGGTGCCGGATGCCCGCGCTGCGCCGGCACTGCGAGAAGAATGAATGGTGGTGGCGTGGAGGGGGGCGCCCTGGCTGCAGATGACGCGGGGAAGCCCGGGGCGCCTGAGGACACCGTGAGAGTGGGCGTGGGTCCAGAGGTAGAAGGGGAGGGACAGAGGGTGCCTCCCCACGCCCTGGTTGAAGGGGATCACGTGACAGTCCTCACCGCACCAACGAGAGTACACCCACTTCTCACCGAGGCTCCCCTGACGGGCCCTCAGCTGCGGCGTCACCTGCCTGCTGGCACTCAGGGGCTCTGTCGCAATCACTGGCTTTGAGGTGGCGGGGGGAGTGGTGTCTCGTGTTCTCCTACAGTGACGACAGCACTGATAAGGGTAATAATCATTCCAGACGTTCAGTACATACTCGAGTTCAGTGCACAGTTGAAGCAGAGAGGGCTCTCCACAGTCACTGAAGCGTTTTATCCCCCACCCCCAACCCACGACGCAGCTAGTGAGGCTGCCTGGTGCTGGACGCCCTTCCTCCAGCAACTCACCAAGTGTTAGTCCCTGGAACACAGGGTTGAATGCAGTGGTGGCTGCCCTCAGGGACCAGGAATTGGGGGGGGGGGGGGTTGCCAGGGATATCTCTGTGCAAGCCTCACTCGAGGCTCCAGATCTGGGGCCCATCCCTGTCAAGCCCTCCTCTGCTGTGTCCTAGTCTCTGAGGTAAGGGCAGAAGCTGGAGATGGAGGCCCAGCTGCAGAGAGAGGCGCCTGAAGACCTGGAAGGACAATAGAGGCTAGACTGAGGGTCACTAGGAGAGAATCTGGAGATCCCACCACCACTGCCAGGTGTCTAGCAATGGGTTCCAAAGCTGGTTCTGCCACTCTTTGTGACCTTGGACTGAAGGCCCCATAATTATTGTAAAATGTTAGGAAAATATGGAAAAATCATACAAAACCGTTGAATACATATAACCTTCCAATCTTTTCTCATGCATTTAAATAATGTGTGTACTTCTCTGTGCCTCCATGTTCTTGTTTGAAGCACAGAGATGACAGGACCTGTATTGAGGAAAGTTTTGGAAGTGAAATTGTCCTGAGGTGAAGTGGGTTGTCTCAGGAGGGATGAGCTGCTCTTCACTCAAAGTGCTAAAGGAGCTGGAAGATTTCTTACCAAGGAGGAGATTAGAGCAGTGGCTGAGGAATTGAAACAATTCTCTTTTCACCCCCCAGAATGAAGGATATTGGAGAAATACATGACAACTTAACTTGGAATTCATTTGGTTCGTTTTTTTTAATTTTTAAAGAGAAAGAGAAACATCAATTGGTTTTTCCACTTATTTATGTATTCATTGGCTGATTCTTGGATGTGCTATGACAGGGGACTGAACCTGCAACCTTGATGTATCAGGACAACACTCAAACAAATTGAGCAACCCCACCAGAACCGGTTAGTTTCTTAAATATTCTTATTCCTGTCCCTGCTATGCACGCTTGCTCATGATTAAAGCAAAAGGCCTAAATGCAAAATGGTAAAGACATAGCAATATATAAGCTTCTATTATGTGGTAAAAATGTGGGGGGAATTCTTTAAATTGTGATCCCCTATTTAAAATTCTGATCTTCTAGCCCTGGCTGGGTAGCTCAGTTGTTGGAGCCTTGTCCCATGCACCAAAGATTGTGGGTTCAATCCCCAGTCAGGGCACATACCTAGGTTGCAAGTTTGATCCCAGGTCAGGGTACATAGGAGAGTCAATCAATCAATGTTTCTCTCTCACATCAATGTCTCTTTCTCTCTGTCTCTCTCCCCTCCTTCCTTCTCTCTCTAAAATCTACAAACACATCCTTGGGTGAGGATTTCTTTTTTTAACTTTGATGTTCTACATCCTGCCCATGAGAAAAAAATTCATTCTCAAAACTAAAATGAAATAAAATTTGCATAGCACTTTTTTATTATGTTTGAATTTCTCAACTGAAAGTCCCTCAAAGCCAAGTGGACTCGATTCTTAACATACCTTTTGATGTTTGAATATTAATAACATTTTTATTCAAGTGGAAACTGTAGGTCTGTGTAGTAGGTTGAATAGGATTCCCCCCTAAAATTCACATCCACTCGGAACCTCAGAATGTGACCTTATTTGGAAATAGGGTCTTTGCAGATGTAATTGCTTAAATTAAGAGGATGCCATGCTGGATTTGAGTGGGCCCCACTGGTGTCTTTACGAGAAGAGGACAGATGCATAAAGACACATGCACACAGGGAAGAAGGCCAAGTGAGGAAGCAGAGATAGGAGCGAGACACCTGCAAGCCAAGGAACACCAAGGATTGCTGGGAGCCCCTAGAAGATGCAAGAGGCGAGGAAAGATACTTCTCTAGAGACTTCTGAGGGAATATGGCCCTGCTGCCACCTTGATTTTGGACTTCTCACCTCTAGAACTGGGAGAATACATTTCTTTTTTTTTTTAAGATTTTATTTATTTATTTTTAGAGAGAGAGAGAGAGAGAGAGAGAGAGAGAGAGAGAGAGAGAGAGAGAGAGAGAGAGACATCAATGTGCAGTTGCTGGGGATTATGGCCTGCAACCCAGGCATGTACCCTGGCTGGGAATCGAACCTGGGACACTTTGGTTCCCAGCCCGCGCTCAATCCACTGAGCTACGCCAGCCAGGGCGGAGAATACATTTTTTGTTGTTTGAAGCCACCTGGTTTGTGATACATTGTTATAGCAGTCCTAGGAAACTAATGCATCCTGTTACAAATATTTTTGGGTAATTTTTTTACATCTCTCATGACCATGTTTCACCTTCCTTTAACTTTTGTCGGGCGGTCCTTTGCTCCCACCCTATTCACTCAAAGGAAGCCCACACCATAAGGGTATTTCTGAGACTCATTCTATTAGCAGGGGCTGACAAATCGCAAAAAATGAAGGAGGCAGATCTGAGTGGATTGACATGGTGAGATCTCTAAGGCCTGCCAAAGTGTCACCAGCTAATAAGCATAGAGTATGATTTCATATATGTAAAAAAGTATGTACAGCCCTGGCTGGTATGGCTCAGTGGAGTGAGTGCCAGCCTGCGAACCACAGGGTCACTGGTTCAATTCCTAGTCAGGGCACACTCCTGGGTTGCAGGCCGGGTCCCTGGTGGGGGGCACGTGAGAGGCAACCACACATTGATGTTTCTCTCTCTCTCTTTTTCCTTCCCTTCCCCTTTCTCTAAAAATAAGTAATTAAAAAAAAGTATGTACACATAGAGATGCATACATAACCACATACAAAGTATGTGTTGAAGTATGTAAATACATAGAAAGATCTGGAAGGAAACAGGTCAAACTAATAATGGTTACCTCAGAGGATGGTACTGGGATCCCAGCAGGATGAATTTCATCTTTGCTCTATGCAATAAAAAAGTTTTAATGATTTAAAAAAAAAGGTTTACAATGATATAGTCCATTTATCAAACATCACACTCTGGCCCTAGACAAATCAATTCACTTAGAAAGGAGACCAGTAGTGAAGAGCATGGAGTTGAGATTAAAACTGAGGATCTACCTTCTACCTGATGTGTGACTTTGGGTAACTTATGTTATTAAGCTTTCTGTGTCTTAGGTTCTTCTGTGAAACAGGGCCAGTGATACTGATAGAATCTGCATATGGGGTCATCGCGAGGATTGAGTAAGTTACATAAAGTGCTAGGTAAGTGCTGGACAGTAGAACTGTTAGCTATTATTATACAAGAAATCATAAAGAAGTTAAAAGTAATCTCATCATTAGACATATTCATATTAACATTTTGTTGCATAGATTTCCAAACTCTTTTTTATCCTATGCTTTTATACTTTTTGCTAAACAAAAACAAGATTTTGTAACCCCTTATCTCCCCCACCTAACTACATGGAGAACATTTCCCTGTGGCAGTTGCAACTGCTCCCATTGTATGAGACACATTGTATCTCATCGTATGGGTATTGATGTTACAAAAGTCCTCTACTCTTAGGGGCTGGATTTCCGTTTTTGTTTTATTTTGTTTTGTTCTGTTCTGTTATCATAGA